GAAAAAAAAACCTCTTGTTTCCATTTCTTGGAGTTCAATTCCATACTTTCCAGCTTTTCTGGTGGTTAATCGTCATTAAGAATCTCATGGGTTTTCCTACCTGGTTGGGCTTTGAACTACAATCCTCAGATCTCAGCCTCCTGAGTAGTTAGGATTACAGGTGTGAGCCACTAGTGCCTGACCTGGTCTTCCTTTTAGACCTCTCATTCATCTCTCTGTCTCTTTGTGAAGGTTCACTTTTGAGTTTCTGTGTCTTAGAACTAAGTGTGACCCAACCTTTTTTTTCATGCCAATCCTGGGGCTTGAACACTGGGTCTGGGCACTGTCCCCGAGCTGTTTGCTCAAGGCTAACCTTCTACCAGTTGAGCCACAACTCCACTGTGCCTTTTTTGGTGGTCAATGGGAGAGAAGAGTCTCATGGACTTCCCTGCCCTGGCTGGCTTTGAACTAGGATCCACAGATCTTAGCCCCCTGAGTAGCTAGGATTATAGGCCATGGAGCTCTGGCCCCTGGCTCTGATAGAGCTTTTACCCTTGGCTTTCCTGTTATTTAGACCTTCCTTTCTGAAGATTTGTTTTCTGCTGTTGTCCTTTTAGGCTTCCTTTCTGCCTGCGCGGGGCAGGGGCGGCTGAGGTCTCGCTTGTCTCCTGGGCTCTTTCTTGGCCACCCCTTGGGTGGAGCCAGTCTTCCTCTTGCCTGTCTTCGTCTTCCTCTGCAGGTGCCCATGGACTCAGAGTCTTTGTGCCTCCTCAGTGCCTGGCTACTGCCCGCCCCTGGCCTTTCCTCCCGACTCCCAAGTTGCTGGGACCTGCAGTTGGGGTTATTGGGGAGGAATTCTTGTGTTGGCTCTGGACACACCAGGGTGGTAGCTTTCCATTCCTGCGGGCTTCCTTGTTATCTCAGGCGCTCAGAGCTCCATGTAGGGCAGAAGACTTTGGTGTTTCCCAACGCATGCTTGCCCTGGGTGAGCCAGGCTTTCTTGCCAAAGGATTGGAGCCCCAGTAGAATGACTGAGAGAGTTCAATTAAGCAGAGCAAGGAAGTGACTTGACAATTGTCCCGTCTAACCAAAGGTATGGCTTGGTCATGCAGCGAGGCTGGTTTCTGGAAGGATGAGATGGCTACAATTGATAAACGGAGGGCATGATTCATGGACTTTGAAGTATGACATCAGACTTACAAAATAACCCGATTGTTCTTTCTCCTGTCTTTGTAACTCTGGTCACTGTGATTGTTCTAATTCCCTCATGCGTGAAGTCTCAGCACTGTTGGGTGCTGGTGGCTCATGCCTATAATCCTGTGCTCATGCCTCTACTCAGGAGGTTGGGATCTGAAGGTGGAATTTTGAAGGCAGCACAGGAAAGACTATGAGACTCCTGTTTCCAATTAACCAGCAAAAAGCAAGAAGTAGAGGTGTGGCTCAAGTAGTAGAGTGCCAGCTCTGCGTTAAAAAGCTAAGGGACTGTTCTTGTGCTGGTACCATGCTGTCTTTGTTAGTATGGCTCTATAGTAGATTTTGAAGTCCGGCATCGAGATCCCTCCCATGTTTTTTTTTTTTTTTTTTTTTTTGTCGGTCGTGGGGCTTGAACTCTGGGCCTGGGCGCTGTCCCTCAGCTCTTCAGCTCAAGGCGAGCGCTCTACCACTTGAGCTACAGTGCCACTTCCGGTTTTCTGGTGGTTTATTAGAGATAGGAGTCTCACGGTCTTTCCTGCCCAGGCTGGCTTTGAACCGCGATCCTCAGATCTCAGCCTCCTGAGTAGCTAGGATGACAGGCGTGAGCCACCAGCGCCCGGCTTCCCATGTTTTCTTTTTTTTCTTTTTTTGCCTAGAATTGTACGTGAAAGTTAGAATGTGTTTGTGACTTTAACTAAGCATCACTATCCCACAATAACTGTGAAATTTGGGAAATTATGTAATCACTTAATCACAATAAAGAACTTGGAAAGAAAAAAGCTAAGGGAGATCATGAAGCCCTGAGTTCAAATCACCGTAGCTGCTGCAGTCATTGATCTCCCTCTACTTGTCTCTTGCTACTTAACTCTTGGTTCAGACCCTTGTTTCCTTCTGTTGGAAGGGCTGCAGCAGAGACTTACGGGTTGGTACCTATGAGGCTAGGCTTCTTACTCTTTTGGTTTTGTTTTTCTTGAGACAGGATCTTATATATCTAAGGTTTGCCTTCGACTCACTCTGTAGCTCAGGCCAGCATGGAGCTGACGGTCTTCCTTGCCTCAGCCTTCCAAGTGCAGGGGATTACAAGAGTTTCCCGCTGTGACACACCCATCTGGTACCATTTTGCTGCGTGTGTGTGTGGTGGGCGTGGGAGGTTGCTGAAGAAATTCATTCTGAGTGTAACTAGACGGCTAATCACCCAGAAGCAGTTACTTTCCTGTTCATTTCGCTCTTTTCCTCTTTGGCTGCTCTCAGTCCACCCCCTCTCCCTACATGATCTGAATTCTGCCTCCAGACCAAGTTCACAGTCTTCTAGCTTTCTGCTCTTCTCTTCCCACACGCCCATCCCCACTTTACACTCTGCTGGCTGACTAATGGGGCGGACCCGCCTCGGCTTCCTGCCCTGCCCTTCTCCATAGCAAGAGCTCTCTGGGCTGTCTTCTCAAGCCGTGCTCTTCCTTTCAGGTTGATCTTGTGGTGCTTTCTGTTTGCAAAGCTCTTTTCATCTCCATCTCCCCGGCCAGCGCCTCACACGCACACTTCACTGGGTGGAATTCCACCCAGGATCCAGGATCGTGTCTGCTGCCTAGGGAGTCCGCATTCTTGTGCTTTAGTGGGTCTTCGTTCTTGATGGTCTCTAGTGCGTGTCTCATGAAGCACAAGAATAAAAATTGTTCTGGCAAATCACTGACTGTTTGCTTTCCCCCTACCATTTCCGAGAACTTACTTTCATGAGAACGGTGACATGGCAGCTGGTGACCCACAGGCCTTGGTAATCTTAGCTACGCACGAGGAGGCTGAGATCTGAGGATAGCAGTTCAAAGTCAGCCTGGGCAGCAAAGTCTGTGAGACTCTTTATCTCCAATGAACCAGCAAAACGCTGAAAGTAGAGCTGTGGCTCAAGTGGTAGAAAACCAGCCTTGAGTGAACAAGTTACGGGATAGTGCCTAGACCCGGAGTTCAAGTCCTAGTACCGGAACAAAAACAACACAAAACGACAAGCCAGTGACACATTGTGTACATTGTAGGATGTTTTACCTCCCACTTGGGTCCAGAGGAATGGTTTTGTTTTTTTTTTTTCCGGAAAGAATACCAGTTCATACCGAAGAAGAAAAGTTTTGTCTGTGCCTCTGTGGACAGTGCTGTGGCTGAGATGCATGGTGGCACTTCCATACGATCATGGCTATTGTTCTTGGAAAACTGGTGCCAACTTTAGATTGGTTTTTCTCAAGTTCAAGCCTGATAAATTCAACTGAATTCGCGATGTTAGATAAGTTAGGACTATACCATGGAAGTTTTTAAAGCTTTTTCTTTTCTGACTACTTTCCCAATAAAGCACAGTAAATATCCTGGGCAGGCAGTCTCTTGGCGAGGAAGCCAAGAAAATTGTTCTAGCTTTCAAACCCAAACACATGTTTTCTGCCGGTGTAGATGGGTGTTGGGGCGCGCTGCCTGTCTTTGTAGAGGAAGGGTTTTAGGGGTCCTGGCAGATGAGAGCTTCCCTGGCATGATCTTTCCTCGTGAAGGTGGAGGGCTTAGGTCACAGCTCTCTGTAGGAGTAGTTCCACAGTGTTTACGGGAAGGAGAAGGTAAAACCCACCTGTCATGGCTGAGTCAGACACAGATAATGTGTCACTCTGAGGAAATGTGGCCTCAAAAACTGCAGCCAGTTAACTGGTGGTTCATGAGGGCAAACCGAGTTCCTCAGGAGACTGAGATCTGAGCCCACGGTTCAAACCAGCTCGGGCAGGAAAGTCTGTGAAACATAGTTCTAATTAACCACAAAGCCAGAAGTGGAGCTGTGGTTCAAGCAATAGCGTGCTAGCCTTGAGCAAAAAAGCTCAGGGACAGCACCCAGGTCCTGAATTCAAGCCCAAGAACTGGCACCAAAAAAACAAAAACGTGGTCCATCCATACCATGGAATGTTATTCAGCCATAAGAAAAGGGATGCAGTGAACTCAGGCTGTGACATAGTTGACTCCTGACAGCTTCTTTGGCTAAGCCAAAGAAGCCAGATAGAAAAGGCCACCTATTGTATGGTTACATTTATGTGAACTTTTCAAACTAGGCAAATCTGTAGGCATAGAAAGTGAGTTCGAGCTGGGCATGGTGACGCATGCCTTTAATTCTGGCATTGGGGAAGTTGAAGCAGGAGGATTGTGAGTTTAAGTTGGGCCTAGGATATATAGCAAGACCCTGCCCAGAAGAAGGAGAGGGGAGAGGAGGAAAAGGAGAAGTTCATTAGAGATTTCCAGAAGCTGACAGGACTGAAAAATGGCTACGAATTGGGCATGATGTTTTGGAAGGGGAGGGTTGGGACAATGTTCTGGAATATACCAAACTCCATGAATATCCCGAACACCACAGAAAAAAAATTGCATGCCTTCTGTGAGTGACTGTATACTGTTTGAACTATAGTAATAACTAATGAAATTATTATAAAACCTTGGTATAGGATTGATCATAAAAATGGTCCCCTTGTATGCTTGGGATCAAGAACATCCAGAAAATGAAGCAGCAGTTTTGAATGTAATGTTTTCAGTTGTGTGGGTTTCTGCGGCTCCTCTTTCTGTCTGCGGTGAGCGGCAGCCCCGGGCGGTCCTTGCGGAAACAAGTAGGGTGCTATTGCACCTCTGGCCCCGACATGGTAGCAAACCAGCCTTCAGGGCAAGCTTGCTGGGCCGTTCACACCTGCAGCCCACCCAAGGCCCCAGGAGCTTCCCAAGACCTGGCTTTCTATTCCTGCTTGCCTGTTGCTGGAGGGACTTGAATCAACTCAGGGATGATTCGCTCATTTGGGAAGCTCATGGAACCCCCTTGTGTGTTGCAGATCGAAGAAGGCAGTAAAGCCGCGGCTGTGGACAAGCTACTGGCTGGAGATGAGATTGTGGGCATCAATGACATTGGCCTTTCAGGGTTCAGACAGGAAGCGATTTGCCTGGTGAAAGGGTCCCATAAGACCCTCAAGCTGGTGGTCAAAAGGTAAGGTGTGAACCCTTTTCCATGTTTATCAAGACAAGAAGGGAGGAGAATGTAAAATGTGAGGGTTAACTGGTTTACCCAGACCACTGTGGTAATCTGATTTGGACCAAGTTTCTCTCTCTCTCTCTCTCTCTCTCTCTCTCTCTCTCTCTCTCTCTCTCTCTCTCTCTCTCTCTCTCTCCCTCTCCCCCCCTGTACTTAGAATCACAGCCATTATTCTAAACCCTTCGGGGATTGGTCTTACGTTCCTCTTTGTAAGATACCACAATCTATAATGCTCCAGCCCCTTGTATAAAACGTTTTATTTGCATGGAATCAGGGCAAATCCTCCTCTCTGCATTAAAAATCGTGTCTAGATGACTTATACCTAACGCAGTGTGAATGGTGTGTATGTCAGTAGTTCTTTTTCTGAGTTACTTAGGGAATGATGATAAGAAAACAGAGGCACCATGTACTTTACCAAATATTTCCAATCTGAGGTTGCTTGTGGATACAGAACCTAAGGGCTATTTACCTTGGCCAAGGTTGAGCCTGGCCACCTAATACAATTGCAGGGTTCCTTATTTTATTTCCTCTGGTTAGTAAGGTTTGGGATTATGAAGTGAGTTTGAATGCTTCCATTGTTTCCTGGGCAGTATAGAGTAAGTTTTTCTCTTTGCAAAGAGGAAGAAATAAACTATTTGTGGTCCAGATGAGGAAGATGTATGTTATTCTCTAATGGTGATACAAAGGTGGCAGCCTGCTGTGTTTTCGGGCAGTGACATCACAAATGCAGACAGCAGGTATTTGTACTGCGCCAAGACATGAAAGGAACAAGCTGACTGTTCCTATAAACTTTCATTGTCAGCAGGTACTTAAATGATTCTCAAGGGAATTAAATTAGGGACACAGTGCTTTTATGTGCAGGAAGAAAAAGAGTATTTGCAGGTACTTCAAATTTGGGGCTTATTATTTTCAGGTAGAAAGAATTCTGTACCATGTTTTTGCATTTTTCTGCCTAAAGTGTCTATATGTCCTTTTTTGACAGAATGAATGCATTCTTTCAGAAGAAAGTAAATTCTAAGAAATGGAGTCAAACATTTATTTCAATTGTGTGTGTGTGTGTGTGTGTGTGTGTGTGTGTGTGTGTGTATGTGTGTATGTGTATGAGAGAGAGAGAGAGAGAGAGAGAAACAGAGAGACAGAGAGAGGGAATATACCGGGGCTTGAACTCAGACCCTTTCTTACCTTTTTTCTTTTTTTCCCCCTTTTTGTCAGTTGTGGAGCTTGAACTCAGGGCCTGGGCACTGTCTCTGATTCTCTTTGTGCCCAAGGTTAGTGATCTACCAATTGAGCCACAGCACCACTTCTGATTTTCTGGTGGCTAATTGGAGATAAGAATCTCAGGGGACTTTTTTGCCCCAGCCAGCTTCAAACTGAGATCCTCAGATCTCAGCCTCCTGAGTAGCTAGGATTATAAGTGTGAGCCACCGGTGTCTGGCTGGTTTTCTTATATTTTTCATGCAAGGTTGGCACTCTACCATTTGAGCCACACCTCATTTCAGTTTTTTTTTTTTTGTGGCTAATTGGAGATAAGAGTCTCACAGAATTTTTTGCCTTAGCTGGTTTTGAACCTTGATCCTTAGATCTCAGCCTCCTTAGTAGCTAGGATTATAGGCATGAGCCACCAGCGCTCAGTGGGACAGATGGGAACCATAACTTAGAGCCCTATTTGGCATTGTCTATGCTCACTTTCCTTTAAACAAAGTATGTACAGAACTATTATGGGGTTTAAGTAGAATTTAATTCCTTAAGTAACAGTGCCTAATGAGACATAAAAACCAAGTAGTTAATTCAAACACCTATTTCCAAACATATTTAAATAACATACTTGGGTGTTGTAAATTTCTTAAAACTATTTCTATCTGAATTTTGAAATAGTAAAAGTAAATGGATTGAATTTGATCAGACTATATTATATGCATATGTGGAAATACTACAATGAAATCTTTGTACAATTAATATATGCTAATTAATAAAAAGAAAATTCTAGATGTAGATAACATTCCCCTTTGGACAGAAAACTGTTGAACATGGTGCTTTGTTTAGACATGTTAAAGGAAACTTTCCAAATGGGTAACTGAGTTAAAATTAGGACTAAGTTGTCACCTAGCAACTGATGATTATTGGCTTTAAATCCAAAGGTGTACTTTAAATTCAAAGTACCGACGAGTACATTGAAAAATGTTTGCCTTGGAGCCATGTGCTAGTGGCTCACACCTGTCATCCTAGCTTCTTAGGGGGCTGTGATCCGAGGATCATGGTTCCAAGCCAGCCCAGGCAGGAAAAGTTCAAGAAACTCTTATTTATCTCCAGTGAGCCGTGAGAAAGCTGGAGATGGAGCTGTGGCCCAAGAGCACCAGCGTAGTGTAAAACAACTAAGGAACAGTGCCTCGGCTCTTGAGTTTAAGCCCAAGTATTGGCACAAAATATATGTTCACCTTGGACTGGGCATGAGCCAGTTACTCAGAAAGCAGAGTTAGGAGAGTGGTTTGAGATGGGAGTAGGTGGATAGTCGGAATTATTAGCGAGACTGTATCTCAAAAGAACAAACCAGGGATGGTGAGTCTTTTTTTTTTTTTTTCCGACCATATTTCTGTAGTCTCGTTTGCCATATAAAAAAAAGGTCTCCTATCAAGATAGAGAGGAAGAAGGGAGGGGATATACCCCTTAGTGTAGAGAAATGGAAGGAAGGGGGGATGAGCCTCAGAAGGAGCAATGTGGAGAATATCATTAAGGCAACAAAGTATTCTCTGTAAAAAGCTGGAGGAGCTTCCGCAGCTCACAGGAAGGCAGAGGCCTTGGCTTCTCTGTGGGATTCTCTCCACTCCAGTGTCTACAAGGGAGTAAACGGCAGCTCTTTTGACTGTTCATTCTGGATCACCTTATTCCTCATGTAGGTAAGAATGCTGCAGGGCTCGGAAGGCAGACAGTCGCTGGTGTGGGTTAAAAGCCAGCATTTCCAGCAGCAACTGCGCTCCAGGTTCTTCCATGTCTGGCACCACCGACTGTACTGGGCGAGGCCCTCTGGGAGAAAAAGCTCCTCGGGGTAGAGATGCATCTCGGGGCCAGTCATCCTCCGGGGGCAGCCCAATTAGATCAGAGATTTTCCCCGACTGGTCAGCTTCAGAGTTTCCACAGAAGAGAGGCTTTCGACGGAACACTCTGCAAAGATACAGCCAACACTGCACATGTCGGCAGGTGTGTTGCATAAGTAGACTGAAGAAGACCTTCAGGAGTAACAACCACAGGAGTGAAGGCCATCGGATAGCTGTAGATCCTGGCCAGGCCCAAGTCAGCCAGCTTGACTGCTCCACCACTGGTCACCAGAACGAACGTTTTCTGGCTTTAGGTCTCGGTGGACAATGCAATTGGCATGAAGGAAATCTAGACCTCTTAGAAATGGGCGCATCAGATCCTTGATGGTCTCCACTGGCAGGCCTGGGGGAGGTGCCTTGTCCAGATATGTCCTTAGGTCTTGGTCTATATGTTCCGACACTAGGGTTACCTTGATGTCTCGGTCAGTTCGGGAAGTGGCACAGACGTCCATAAGCCGGACGACATTAGGGTGCTCAAAAGCCTGCAGCCGCCTCAGGAAGGCCACTTCTCCAACTGTGCTGATAGGAAGGCCCCCGGAGCCATGGCTGAAGTGATAGAACACAAGGCCCAGAGTTCAAACCCCAGTAACAGAGACAAAATACACTTCTCCTTCCCCAGGCAGCTGATGAATCTGCCTTCGGTCCCCTTGAATTAGTTAGCATTTCGAAGCATTTTATGTAGCACTTGAGGACAGAGTGTGCCGTCTTAATAAACAAGCACCGGGGCTGAGGTAAAGCTCAGAGGTACAGGGTGTGTTTTTAGCATGCACAAGGCCCTGGGTTCCATCCCCAGCACCAAAGGGGGAAAAGTGTGGAGTTTATTGGAAGGGTCCTCTCTTACGTAAGACCTAGTCCGGTGTGTAAACACATAAATGCCATTGACTTCTCCACTTGAAAACACGGCCAAGTGATCTGCTGCATTGCTTCCACCCTCGCCTTGGCGTGTGGTCCCTCTGCCTTGGATGGGGGAGGCGTGCTGTGCACTGCGTGTGGAGCCGTGCAGCCCACATCTGTCAAGCCGCATTTGAATAGTGCTTTCCCACAGAGACCCTCCCCTGGATGACAGGTGCTGCCTGTCTTTTGTTTCTCATGATCCTTTTATCTTGGAGTGTGTGTGGTGTGCGGGGACCGAGTGGCTGGGGTAGGATTGCTGTGGGCCAGTTTCACAAAGCCCTGGCGTCTTGTTTCATGGGGCTGAGGCAAGGTGATCTTGCCGTCACTGAGATAGTGATGGCCCCGGGAGACCAGGGATCTGCTCATCTCCTTGCCCCCAGTCGGAGGTGCCCAGAAACAAAGTCACATCCCCCTTCTGTATGCCCAGGTGGCAGCCAGGGCTCCATGAGATTGGAGGCCTGGAGGGTGGGGATAGGGTAGTGGGGGGTTGAACAGGAGCTACGCCATCTGTTGGGTCGGGGACGCAGACTGGAAGTCAGAGTTTTTGCCCAGCTCTTTCTCCTGGCAGTCACCTCCTTCCCTTTGGTGGCCACTTCCGCCCCTGGAAATCCTGATGAGCAGCTTTGGAATGCATGCGTGTGGGGGTCTAGGGTTTGCACAGAAGGCCACAGTCTATATTTTGTTTGGTGGCGGAGTTGCTTTTGCCCGTCACTGGCTTCCAGGGCTTAGAGAAAAGGCTGAGGCTAGAAAGCAGGTGGCATGGTGACATTTTCCTGTTCTTGTACTAGGGCTTGAACTAGGGCGTGGGCACTGTCCCTAAGGTTTTTCTGTCTCTCTCTGTCTCAAAACTGGTGCTCTTCTTCTTGAGCCACAGCTCCACTTCTGACCTTTTGCTGGTTAATTGGAAGATAAGAGTCTCCCCAACTTTTCTATTCATGTTGGCTTTGAACTTTGATTCTCAGATCTCAA